AAACTCTAACACTACATTTGTTATCAACCAGTCAACTACGTCTGCCAATTTTTTCCTCCATTGTAAAAGCGTATGAAGATGTAATAGTTTAGTAGCTTCATCTCAAGTTATTTTCCCAAACTATTTTTGTAGCCTTTGTATATTTAAAATGTTGCTGTTAAATCATGTTTTAAATATATGGTAAACAATGAAGGGTTCCAGGACAGAGCCGCTAGGCACTCCACTTACAAAGTTCCCACTTTTAACTTGACTCCATTTATGCTAACTTTCTGCTTTGGAACAACCAAGTCCTAATCCAACTTAGGACAACCCCCTGAAATGTCATGGTCCTCCAATCTGTTAAAGAATCTCTCGCGAGGCACAGAATCAAAGACATTAATCAACACTGTGACCGTCGTTACTTCACACAACCTTCAATCAACACTGTAGCCATCAACACTATACTCGACAATATTCATCATTGTAACTATGTGCACTAAATATTAAACGCACTCACTTCACTCGCTTCTACAACTCACCATCACACACCACTGTAACAAAGCACTAATCACCACTATAACAAAGCACTGCACACCACTATAACAAAGCACTGCACACCACTATAACAAAGCACTACACACCACAATAACAAAGTACTACACACCACTATAACAAAGCACTACACACCACTATAACAAAGCACTGCACACCACAATAACAAAGCACTACACACCACTATAACAAAGCACTACACACCACTATAACAAAGTACTACACACCACTATAACAAAGCACTACACACCACTATAACAAAGCATTACACACCACTATAACAAAGCACTACACACCACTATAACAAAGCACTACACACCACTATAACAAAGCACTACACACCACTATAACAAAGCACTACACACCACTATAACACTATAACAAAGCACTACACACCACTATAACAAAGCACTACACACCACTATAACAAAGCACTACACACCACTATAACAAAGCACTACACACCACTATAACAAAGCACTACACACCACTATAACAAAGCACTACACACCACTATAACAAAGCACTACACACCACTATAACAAAGCACTACACACCACTATAACAAAGCACTACACACCACTATAACAAAGCACTACACACCACTATAACAAAGCACTACACACCACTATAACAAAGTACTACACACCACTATAACAAAGCACTACACACCACTATAACAAAGCACTACACACCACACCATAACAAAGCACTACACACCACTATAACAAAGCACTACACACCACTATAACAAAGCACTACACACCACTATAACAAAGCACTACACACCACTATAACAAAGCACTACACACCACTATAACAAAGCACTACACACCACTATAACAAAGCACTACACACCACTATAACAAAGCACTACACACCACTATAACAAAGCACTACACACCACTATAACAAAGCACTACACACCACTATAACAAAGCACTACACACCACTATAACAAAGCACTACACACCACTATAACAAAGCACTACACACCACTATAACAAAGCACTACACACCACTATAACAAAGCACTACACACCACTATAACAAAGCACTACACACCACTATAACAAAGCACTACACACCACTATAACAAAGCACTACACACCACTATAACAAAGCACTACACACCACTATAACAAAGCACTACACACCACTATAACAAAGCACTACACACCACTATAACAAAGCACTACACACCACTATAACAAAGCACTACACACCACTATAACAAAGCACTACACACCACTATAACAAAGCATACACACCACTATAACAAAGCACTACACACCACTATAACAAAGCACTACACACCACTATAACAAAGCACTACACACCACTATAACAAAGCACTACACACCACTATAACAAAGCACTACACACCACTATAACAAAGCAATAACTACACACCACTATAACAAAGCACTACACACACTATAACAATAACAAAGCACTACACACCACAATAACAAAGTACTACACACCACTATAACAAAGCACTACACACCACTATAACAAAGCACTACACACCACAATAACAAAGCACTACACACCACTATAACAAAGCACTACCACTATAACACTACACATCACAAGTGAAAATACCTGAGAGTAGACATTATCCAAACACTAAACACCACAAGCTCATGTGAACAGGACATCATTAGCACCATATGGGAAGTTACCGAACAAAAGAACGTCATTCAAGAATCTAAACAATCAGGCTCTCAAATCCACACATACCACATATGTAAGACCATTACCTGAGTATGCAGCGACAGCAGGGAACCCACACCTTGTGAAACATAAATAGAAACCTTGAAACAAAGTTCAGAAGTTTGCCACAAGATTAGTACCAGAATTGAGAGTCGTCAGCTTTGAGAACAGGTTGAGAGAACAATCTTAGAGGAGAGAAGAGAGAGAGAGAGGGGATATATTAACTACGTACAAGCTCTTGAAGAGAATAGATAAAGTTATCAAAGGAATCTTATTTAAATGCAAAAGACGTATGATGTGAGTACATCACTACAACAAGGCACCGCATTTACTAGACCAGTCGAACTATTAGCCTGACTATAATTCTTGCATCTGGTATATTATTACCAGATGTGTTCTTCAGGTTCTTCACAGTGTGAAGCGACCTACTATGAAGAAGGAAAAGGTCTCCGGCGACGATGGTCGCCACCAGAAGAAAACCAAGTGTGTCCGCTTCGCAGATAATATCATCAGTCAGGTGCACGTCCTCGAGGACTGGGCCTACGAGAGTTGGGTATTTAGGAAAGAGGGAAAGAACTGGATTGCCGCCGGCTCATTCCGCCGCCGCTTTGGCAGAAGGTGCCGCGCGACCGAAGACTTGCTGAAGGCCGACAAGGTCTTTGACCTCCTGCACAGGGAGAAAATATTTGCCCAGAGATTTAAGGAGTCCTCTCTCACACAGTGATTTGTTAATTTATTATCTGTGTCTAACTTTTTAAAATAAAAATATTGCTGTTACTTGATTTTTATTTGGTTAAGGGTATGAGGAGGCAGGAATTTATACAGTTGAGGAAACTAGCAGCAGGAGGGTTATCAGGCTCAAAGAGGTCAATATTAAAGTCCCCTGAGATAATTAGATGGTTTTTGTTCAGTGTTATCTAGTATTAGATAACATTAGTATTCATTATCATTATTCATTATATTTTTCATTGTCATTAGATAACATTATCTAGTATTAGATAACATTAAATAACTGCCAAAAACTCCGGTAAATTTTAAATTACAGCTGGAAAAGATCATCAAAGCAAATTGGGGGACCTACGACAAGCCGCCGGCTTCCTCTCCTTGTCGAAACCACTAGTGTTAGTGGCCCTCAGGTAAATTCAGGTAATTTCAGGAACCTATACACTGGGTACTACTAATCACACGCCTTAGACCACTACACCACAACATGGTAAAAAATAACAACCTAGGATTCAACTGAATCCTCCAGGGGTCCCGAGGCTTCCAACTGAAGCCTAATCAGGGCTTAACACATTGCCCCCTAATCAGGGCTTAACACATTGCCCCCTTAACACATTGCCCATGCCCCACATGCCCCCCAATATGACCAAATACTCTCTGGTCGTATTTCTAGGAGTTCCACCTCTAACGCTTCGAATCTCTTCAAATGCACATCACTTTATGATACATGACGTTTATGTGTTTTCTTTCTACATTTGAAGAGAAGCGTTGGTGGTCCTAGACATTCCCACATCCCAGACTACGAACAGTGTGCTTGGAGAGGGGGGGGGGGGCATTGTACGAAGCCCTAATTAAACCCAAGTCTTGGGACCCCTAGACTCCGAGAGGATTCAGTTGAATCCCAGGTTGTATTCATTTTGACCATGTCGTGGTGTAGTGGTCTAAGGCGTGTGTTTGGTAGTACCCAGAGCATAGGCTTGAATCCTCCTCATGGATCCTACTGATCTGTTCACGTTTTCCATGCATCTGCCTCGAAAGATTAGATGGGTTGCTTAAATTCGTACCTTTCTAGTTCTCTAGTGGTGTGTAAACAAAAGGCTTGAGTTTTTACGGATTGGTAAATTCAATGAACAGGTTGAATATCCTCCCTTTGTATTTACCACTACGTAAAAAATACAGCTGTTTTGCCCAAGCAGGTCCATACGAACCCCAGCAACCCATCTAACTTACCAAGGCCGATGCATAGAAAGCATGAATATTACGGTGCTTTAGTTTTTATTTATTTATTTATTTTTATTTATTTATGCATATACAAGAATGTACATAAGGAATGTGAGGATACAAATATGGTAATTACAGTCTTGTAAAGCCACTAGCACGCGCAGCGTTTCGGGCAGGTCCTTAATCTAAGAAAATTTTAAGGAGGTAAATACTTGCAAAATTATAGACAAAAAATGATAACAGATTACATGAAATGAAAAAAAAGATGAGAGAAAATTGTAGGTACAGTATATTAAAGCACATAGGTAGCTAAGATTGATTGCAATGACAGCTTGAATGGTAGTTGACAAAAAAATTGGTAGGCATAATACAGCAGAAACAATATAAGATTGGTTGCAATGACAGCTTGAATGGTAGTTGACAAAAATTGGTAGTCACAATACAGCATATGGCTAGCACATAAAAGAAGACAGCAATGAACACAATGATAAGGTTGTTTGAAATTACATAAAAATTAGGAGATTGGGTAACACTAGGTACAGAGCAAATTTAAAGCTCAGTGTAGGAAACTAAGAAGATGAAGATTTAGTAATGCATCGATTAAATGCATCGATTGATATGCATCGATATGCATTGATATGCATGCATCGATATAATGCATCGATTGAAGATTTTTAGTAATGCATCGCATTTCCAACGAAATGGTCCGCAAAAAAAGAAAAAGAAAAGTGGAATGCGTTATGTGAGAGGACTAATAATACCGTGGAGGGACAGCTCGCCCACCATGTCCCCGATATGCGACTTACCTGTCTCCCTGGGGTGTGGGGACGGGTAGACGAACTCGGAGCTGGTGAAGGCGGCGGACACGGTCACCAACAGGAGAAGCCCGCGCCATCCTGACCCACACATCCTCGCTCTCCGGAGACCTGTCGGATGGGTAACATTGGTTTATATTGACACTATTGAACGCATTTGATTCTCTTTCATTTTCGTATGGTTCATCAGATATTAACTAGTGACAATGTATGGTAAGTTGATGTCAACAACACCTACATCACATGATGCAGGTGATGTCAACAACTACCAAATTAACATTACCTCGCAGTAGATTACTGAAGAAAATGACCTTGGAGTCAAAATCCATCATTCACTGATAGTTGCACAGCAAGATGTGTTGCCTTTTACCACACACATCCCCCCTCATATAATAATCTGAATATCCTTAAACAGTCTTCTCCATTCTCACTACATGCAAGTTAACATTGACCCCGAACTCTGCTATCACATATCTACAATAACCAGCACATGGATCATCACTACTGCAATTGCAATCATCCTACAATCCTACAATCATTCTACACAGTAAACTTTGCAAAAAAAAAAAAAAACTCCAAAATAACACAAACCTGTCAGTATTCAAACAAAATGTCAGAACACTTAATAAACACTTTGATGATATAAATGCAGTACTAGATGCATTATCGTTTATTATTTTAATGGAAACATGGCTAAGTAAAGACCATACCCATTCATAACTGCAGGTCTGATAAAAAAGTGGAAGTACAGATGAAGTACCTGTCCACCTGAAAACCTGTACAGGAAGTACAAGTTTTTCAGGTCATATCCGTAATTCAAGACAGCTGTGCTGTGTTCTGTAGAGAGAGTGTTGTGCCTCGTCCAGGGTGTGATCTCTGATCTCCACTTGTTGTGGGAGCAAGTCACGGGCGTAGCTCACAGAGGGCCGTGTTTGGTGGCAGCCTCATCGCCATAAACTTTTCCATCAAGTTGTTGAGTAGAACTGAACTGTGAACGCCACCTTGCGTTGTACCATATGTGTAGTCTTATATTGAAAAAGGTGTCCTTGGAATCGTACTCTGATGTTTCGATAAATGAGGCAATCATGCACTCGGCCAAGTAAATTACACATCTCTCCTTTGCAATCAACGAATGTAGGAGGCGTGGGAATTTCCTAACTCAAAAGTTTTTTGTTGTTTTTTTACGTTTAGGAAGACAAGGAGTTTTGAAATCAGGACGTTAGCAATGGTTGGATGTTCCTACACCTTCCGTGAATATCAGTATTTGAATGCAATGGGTCAATTTTCCATTTGAGTCTGTTGAGATTCTTACTGTTATCTTGGTCGTGCGGGACCAGAGTGAAACGGGCGATATATACAGTATCCTCTTCTGGTTTGGGAATTGGAATCTGATGTCATTCCTTCAATTTATTTGAAGCCTACCATTTTTAAGGGAATTATTAACAAGGTCTGTATTGAATGGATTACCACTGTCATGGTTCTACTTGTATGATTGCTCGTAGACGTGTTGGCGGCAGTTCTGCTTGCATAGTTCTCATGATTTTGGGATTTGTGTCTGCTGGTCGGTGTTGCTTGACTCAGCGCGCATCTGGACTGCCTCTAGATTTCTTCTTTCTTCAGTCATTTCTGCTGCTTTATTTTTAACTTACTCCTCCTAACGGAGTCTAGAACGTGTTTCAGTTGATGAGTGGTGTTGTCTGTCTGTTGTGTGTTTCTTGAGAGGTGTGGCTCCACTCACAACTTAATTGTGTAATGGCGTTGGTGTAATTATCTTTCATTTTCTTGTGTTGAATGACGCGTGGCTGACGCTGATGATGCCTCCGGTGATTTATTTATTTATTTATTATATTTATTTATTTATTTATATATACTAGAAGTTACATTGGGTTTATGAGAGTATATAGCATGATGTGTTTACATTCTTGTAAAGTAACTAGTATGCACAGCGTTTGAGCACAATTTATAAACTGTTAACAGGTACATTGTAAGAAAATTTGAGAGAGATTAGTAGGTATATTAAAGTACATTAAAGCACATTGAAAGCTTTGATTGAAAACATTGATAGCTTGATTGATAATATGACATTATTATCATATTAGATAACATTAGTAGGCACATTAAAGCACACTGACAACACATATAAGATGATAACAATGTTTAATGGTAAAGTTGTAAGGCTTAGGTATATATATATTGGGGGATTGGGTAGCACACAATATGTGTTCAATATAACAACCATGATATAAGCATGATAATGAAGGAGCCTCTTGCCTGTACATGTATAGCTGTCATATCCAGTTTTGCTCTTTGGTGTAAATGTGATATATATTATGATCGTTTAATTCCTGAGATATAGCAGGACAGCTTGCACGTCAACGCCCTCGCTACGGTGTATTGGCTTAGTTTCCTGAGAACATTATATGGTGGTTTTTCATCGTCATGCTACCTTGTCTGTCTGGACTTCTGTGAAGCCTAAGCTTTTGTCACCTGACAACCATGTATCATCATTTTGCCGCAGGAGTGTTTCCTGCAACAGCACAATGTCTGTGTAAGCTGTCTTGCAGAAGGTGGATCTTGTGCTTGAGGCTTTGGGAGTTCATCTATACTATGTTGGTGATGTCCAGCCTGAGTGATCTTGTGCTTGAGGCCTTGGGCGTTCATCTATATTATTTTAAGAGCTGTCCAGTCTGAGTGATCTCTGTCAATTGCCGTCTCCAGCAGAGCTTCTGTTGTTGCTTGTTGCACCGTCTGTTTCTTCTCTTGTGTCTCTCCTGCGGAATTTAGTAATGGATATTCGGTGGACGGTGTATCTAAAGGGGTTTCCTATTATTTTTATTTTATTTTATTTATATATACAAGAGTTCTTACACTGATGTTGGTACTGGTTGTGACGGAGGCTTTGTGTCTGGGTTTGTATTGGTGAACTGATAGTGTACTCTACTAATACAGCCCGTCCTTCTGTTTGTATTGTACTTGTAGGAAGGACCATAGTACATATACCGGCGAACAACGCAATTAGAAAGTAGAACTCGGTACTACTGAATTTGGACAAATCGGAAAACGATTTTCCACTTAACCTTTTAACAAATCGATTTGTCCTTCTAGTTAGGACAAAGTAACCTAACCTAACCTTCCTAGGCCTAATGCACGATATCTGAGGCCTAATACAGTACATATGTTTGCTATACTAGACCTAGGAATATTTAAGTTTGTTTTCTAGCGTCATTTTTTCGGATTATAAAGTGAATAGAACAAAATTCTACTATCTAATAGCTTTGTAAATCAATATTTGTACTATGGTGCACATAGTTACAAAAAGTAATACCTAAACAGAAGTTTTAGTTTAGTTTAGTTCATTATGCACCCCATACCCATCTTGTGGGCGGTAGTGGAAAGGGTTACAGAGGCACATAATGGGATCAGGGACTGAACCCCACAATTCATTTAGCTAAGCAAGTTAAAATCGTGATGAGCTAGTTACAAAATTCAGTATAAGTCGTCACATCATCAATGGGTTCGAGATCGACCACAAGTACAGTTTCTAAATTAAGCAACTCTACCCTTCAGACCGAACTATTTGCCTTGCTCCTTGCACTGAAATGTGCACAAGTCTCCAAACTTGATACATTAATTGTAAGTGACTCTTTATCGTCCGTAACTGCTCTCAACTCTTTAAGACATAACTGTAACTTGCTCGTGTCTGAAGGTATACACAAGTATAACAAAAGTATTAATGATGGTAACAGAGTCCATTTCATGTGGACTCCCAATGCATGATAGAGCTGATGAGTTAGCCAAATAATCTTCCTTTAAAGAAGAAATTGAGTATAACCTTGGATTATCAATAAGTAATCTGAGAGCAGCAGTACACCAAGAACTTCAACAAAATCTTGTAGATCTGAGGCAAAGTGAAATCGACATCAGTAATTCCATCTATCATCATACTATCATACAAGGGGAGCCACACATCTATGGATCATCCAATAAAATCAGCAGACTTCTAGATGTTACTACTGCTCGGCTTAGACTCGGTTACAAGTATTTCTGGGAATTCTCATTATCTGCTGATGTAGACCTGACCAAATGTGAACTGTGTCAACTAAATTATGTTTATAATTGAAGCATTACGAACGTCTCAAAATCACGAAGGGGTGAATTGCAACCCATCCTCGACTCAAGTCCATTACATCCAGCGGTCGACCCCACAGACGCATTCATAAATTTTAATATGCTGTTCATTCAAAACGGGAATTTTCTCAAGTATAAATTAATATTATAATACATTAGCATATTGTGTATATATAGACATAGGTTAGGTTAGGTTAGGTGTTTAGGTTCTGTTGGCGATTATTTGTATTTGTAGTACGTGGGTGAAGCATTTATAGCGTTGTGATTCGAACAAAATTCGTCAGTGAAGCACTTGTTCCGGATATGTTCGAACGTCAGCAGTTGTGAGTCGTGTGTAAACCGCTTTTCATTCATAAACAGGGGGTTTGGTGGGTGGATGGAATCACTTTTGGATCTTTGTTTGGAGGACGGGCTGTGAATTGAGCTGCAGCCCGTCCTCCAAACAAAGACCCAAAAGTGATTCCATGCACCCACCAAACCCCCCTGTTTATGAATGATAAACGGTTTACACACGACTCACAACTGATTTCGTTCGAACACTTCCGGAACAAGTGCTTCACTGACGAATTTTGTTCGAACCACAAAGCTGTAAATGCTTCACCCACTTACTACAAATATAAATAATCGCCAAGAGAACCTAAACATCTAACCTAACCAATGAACCTAACCAGAACCTAAACACCTAACCATATTGTGTCCGAGAGTGTGGGGTCAGCTGGGGTCATCCATATTGTGTCCGGGGGTATGGGGTCAGCTGGGGTCATCCATACTATGTCCGGGGGTGTGGGGTCATGCATATTGTGTCCGGGGGTGTGGGGTCAGCTGGGGTCATCCATATTGTGTCCGGGGGTGTGGGGTCATGCATATTGTGTCCTGGGGTGTGGGGTCATCCATATTGTGTCCTGGGGTGTGGGGTCATCCATACTGTGTCCGGGGGTGTGGGGTCATCCTTTTTGTGTCCGGGGTGTGGGGTCAGCTGGGGT